AAAAATCTTCCCTGAGTTGAGTGCATTGGTTTTATGCTGCTAGTCTTCCCTAGGTTGACGACATTTGGTGGTTGCAAGATCTTCTCCTATGCTGCCAATTTTATGTAAACTTCTTGAAAACCCTGAAATGGATTCTCTGTGCAGAGCTTCAGTGTTACAGCCAATATCCCAATGGTTCATCATAGAAAGTCCACATTAGCTCATTGGCTTCTGGAGCTCACTGGGCCCATGCCATCATCAGCCTCACCAAGTCTCAATGATGCTTCCTAGATCCTTCCAACTGTTCTTTTCCTGAGCACTTGTCTCTCCAGTTTCAAATTATTGGTATTTAGCTGGACTAAATTCATGCCCGATGAAATTTCTTTTGATTGCAAAAATTAAGCTTGATTGGGACTTCAGTCCTGGTTTCAAAATTCAAATCCGAGACTTTGTATCCATGAATGAAGATTGAAGACGTTTTTAATTGGCTATATTTTTTTATCAGTAATTAAGCCAAGAAATTGCCTATTTGGGGGACCAAAAAGACTACCATAATTGGTCTTTGCATACTTATTTTAATAAGATCCATAATCCAACCTTTTGATGTAACATTCAATGACAGAAGAGAAAGAATGACTAATTTATAATATGGGACATGACTTCAATACCGTATTGTTAATGTTATCTTGAATTTTGGTTAAAACTTGAGAACATTCTTGATGATTACTTAACTAGATGACTTGAAACTTTTGGTTGGGATTCTCTTCCATTATTTCCATCTTCAATTCCCTTCTAATTTCTGTTACATAAAAGTCAAGTCAATAGAAAATGGAAATTTATTCTTCTGACAAGGATGGTTCAGAATTAGACCAACCTGTGTAAACAATTTTCCATTTTTCTTATCCCTGGTTTCTGAGAAAACGTGGTATGCGGAGTCCAATGCCTTCTAGTAATACTGATGACTAGAAAGTTAGAAACAGCCATGTTATGATGAATTTCCAAAGTTTATTACATCAAATGTAGTTTCTGAGCTAATTTGGCATTTCTCATGTCACTAAAAGCGCCCTTACATTAAAAAAAAAAAGAAAAAAAAAAAGAAACTAACCATATATTTGAATTAAGGGGGGGGAGGGGAGAGGAGAAAATAGTTTTTTAACTAATCAAATTATAATATTTTTTAAATATTGTAATTTAATTGATCAAAAATCATTTTTTCTCCTATATTCCACCTAAACATATTATAAAAGAAGTTAACTCCTTTACTTGTCCATAACCTTTTTATAATGCTTCTATATTGTCCGTAAAGTTTCATTTGTCACACATTTTCAAAAAGAACCATTTTGTCGAGCCTTGGATATCAGGACTCAGGAAGGGTAGAAAAGTCCAACCGCCATCTTCCATCACTCTCCA